AAACATAAGATGTATGATTTTATTTGATGAATCAGAGCAAATATGAGATATTACAATTAAAAGATCACAACAAATAAGAAAATAATCAGAATTGTTATGAGGAAGTTCTCTTCTGGAGTATCAGTACCTGAAAAAGTAACAAAACAGCAGTCAGGCAAACAATTCAGTCAGTGAAGACCTACAAGTTTAATTTTTTGCTTGCTCATCTCCTCAGACTCCACCTTGTCAAGGGCAGAGCTGCACTTCTGTCACCACAGATTTCTGAGCCCAGTGCAAAGCATCACCAGAAATGAGACTTTAGATATGAAAAAGCAGTGTTACAGGACACAAACCTGATTCATGTCCATCCTCGGAGGATTTCCACCTTTTCAGAACTGAAAGGACAAAAATAAAGAGTTAGGCTTTTGTCACAGCCATTAATTTTACAGCAGAGTTTCTGATTTTCTCCTCAGACACTCTGGCTTGTCAGGGCCAAAGATGCACGACTGTCTCCATCCAGACTCAGAGCCCAGTGCAAGTCATCAGGGGAGAAGGACGGCTACAAATCATAGACAGCATATAAAACAGAGAGCAGCCACCAAGAACGTGAGGAGGATCCGCCTGAAAAACTGAGGAACACTGCACTCCTATTGGTTAATAACTGATCAGTCACAGTAAAACAGATCCTGTTTTATCTATTTTTTTCCTGAATACAAATGATTGTTGTGAACCTTAACAGGGTTCATCTTTCCTCCGAAGGATTGTAATAAAATATTTATTTCTCTAAGTGCGTTTTTATTTACTCTGGCACAGATTACTAACATTAGAATTTCCATACATGTCCCACAAGGAGCTGGCCCTGGAGCAGACCCAGGACCCACTAGAGATTTCATCCATTAGCTGGCATGTGAACAGCCCCAAAAGACCTGGAGGAGCTGGGTAGAGATGGGCCTTTCTGTTTAGACTGCTGCCCACATGCTCCAGACAAGTATTTGAAAATGAATAAACAGATGGATGCTCACCCCACCATCATCGTCCTCAGGAAGTCTTTAATGTTCTCAAGTGGACACAGACTGAAACTACAGGTCTCTTAATTTTGCAAGGACTCATAAGATTACACGTCCCCCTCCTAACTAAAGAGTGAGTGCTGAAAACCCCCAAATAATCCTCACCTTTAGGGCTCCACTGCAGCTGAGCAGCTTCACTCATTCAAAGTCCTGAAAACATTAAAAAAAAAA